ATAATAAAATATATAAAATTACATATAAACAACCGATATTACCAACCTATTTTCATGTCAATCATCATAGATGTTGATTTAACATTACCGATACTGTTACACAAAATCAATATTAAAATTCTCTTAAGTATCGAGCATCTTTGCATACTGAATAGCTTAAGTTTAGTGAAATTTCATTCTTCAAAAAAGTAAGAAATCAGTACTAGAGTCTAAAAAAGGAATTAAAGTATAGTACTTAGTAATATTCATTATATGTATTAAATAATAATAATAATAATAAAACTTTAAAAAAATAAGCAAACTGTAGTGATCGTTCTTAAAAAAAAGTTTCATATATCTTTATACTAGCCTCGCTAAATATTTTGTTAACTTACATTTAAAATAAAAAGTAAGGGCGTGTATTAATTTGTTAAGCAAACATAATTCAGTAATTAGATTAAAAGCAGATGATTAACTGACTTTAACTGTTAATCATATAAAAATTTTTTTTAATATTATAAAGTATAGTATATAGGGTATCAAATATTTTAAATTTTAGAAATGCTATATTATGGATATTAGATAAACAGCATAATTTTATTTATTAAATTCTGTTGTATAAGCTACTAGTAATAAAGAAAATTTTGAAAAGCTTTTTTAATTTATTCTTAAAAAACTATTAAATATATGTTTTGATATGAATGCTTAGAGTATATAAACTATGAGTTACGCATATTGTTAATAATAAGTACTCTAGTATTCTATTTTTATAATATTTTTAAAAGTTAAAATCAAACTTTCTGGCCAAGGCAATTCTCTATATTCATTTATAATTTATCTATTTGATTATATTTTAATAATAACTACAGTAGTAGTCTGGCTTTTAATAATATAGATAAATATTTATTTACCAGGATATAAATGTTATTAGAGAATATATATGATACTAATAAAAACTTAGCAGAATAGAATCAATAAATCATAAGCATAAACAATTAATTGTATTGAATAAACTTTATTAAAAATCATAAATCAATTTTCTAACTCACTTTACTAGTGATACATTATTATACATATAATGTTGTATTTATTCTAAGTTTTAACCTTACGCAATTATTGCATTGTCAATTTTTTTTGAGCAAAGTTCCAGACAGAGCACAAAATTCTACAGTAAAATACCGGAGCTCCAGTAAATTAAAAAAAAATTCCAACACAATTTTTTGATAATCAAAAATTTTCTGTTTGGTCAAAATTTTGACACATTCTTATATCATGACTAATTGTTACTATCGTTACTACCTCTGGCTATAGATTCTAAATTCTGTTTAATAAAAAAATTACTGAAAAAATATTAGGACACATCATGCCATGATTTTGTGCTTGGTTCTAGATAATAATTAATCAATTAAAAAGATTTTTTTTGTCTCCTATTCATCAGAGCCGCCAAAAAAATCTTTATAGAGTATTCTACAATAAATACACAATTTAGTCAGCTGTTCAAAAATCACTTACAAAAAAATATAAGTTTTACATCATAAATTTATTATATGATGATATTATTAGTTATAATATTACAGTTATTCGTAGTAATAATATGACAATAAGTAATAGTATATTAAAATTTATAATATAAACTATATGTTTTGTGTGCGAAATTTGATAGAGTCTGTTGAATCTATTCGATTATACTAATCATATGATAAAATTTTAGATAGATCTTAATTCAATTAATCATTGTAAACTAAATTAAATAGAATAAACAAATTTTAATAAATATATTTTTTAATTTGATAAATGAGATATGTATCGATAAAATATATTTAATAAAAATACTTAGAATTAATCACTTGTACAATCATCAATATTTATAAGGAATATAAATATATTCACTTAATAATCACTTTTTATTCTAGTCTATTTCAACTTAAATTAAGATGTCTTCTTCAAATCCTAATGAAATTAAAAAAACAGGCAGTTACAAACCAAAAGTGAAGGCAAAATTAAACTCACACCTTTTGTTAAAAGAAGAAGATAGATCTAAGCTTAAATATTTGCTAGATATTGGTGTGCCCAGTATTGTTGAAATGGAATAGGATTTGTCTTAGAAGCATCATATTATAAATTGTGATAAATTTCTTCAAGAAAATGGTCTTAATATCAACTCTGATGATGTGCGATACAAATGGGTTATTCAGCATTCAACTAAAACATTAATTGTTAAGCAATGTATAAGTGGGAGTTATCGAGAAAAAAATATTACATCTACTTTTCGAGCTACAGTATCATGGTATTCCTATATAGGTGTCTTGCATTTGTTTTAATTTTTCTTTGTGATAATGAAATTTGTAGTATTGCAGAATACTTGGAACATAATGAACAATGCTTGTCTTTCTAGCCATAATGAGACCCACCATATAGACACTTGCCTTATATAAAGAAGAGTATAGAAAATTTGATAAGTCTTAATGTAAAAACTTCTGATATTCTTGTCCAGAATGCAAGAATTGTAAAAAATATGTTTAAAAATCACACCTTGATAGGAAATTTTAGAACATTACTTACTACAATAGATATTACCAACATTAAAAAACAAGTACTATAAAATCAATGAAATATTGATATTAAACATGATACTGCAAAAAATCTGGATCATATACTTGGACCAAAAGCAGATCAGCCTGAACTAAAAGAATCGTGTTTGCATTATCAACCTCATACAGAAACTGACCATCTTGAGATTATTATTTGTACTCATAAACAACAAGAATATGCATAGAAATATGGTCATCAAAATCTCATTTTTGTTGATGGAACTTTTGAAATTAGCAAGTACAAATTACTCTTATTCATTATTATAATTATCGATGATAATAATAAAGGCATTTTTATTTCTTTTATCCTCTTTACACCACCTTGACCTAATCATTTAATATCTTTTGGATATGATAGTAAAATTTTAGAATGACTTTTTACAATCTTCCGTAATAAGATTAGTAATAATTATAATTAGAATCAATTTTTAGCTACCTCAGTTATATTTAGCTCTCATGCTGTAATAACCGATATTGATTTAAAAGAATGGAAGGCATTATCAAAAGTATAGCTAGGAATCATTCTACTTCTTTGTTACTTTCATATAAGTCAATATTGCAAAAATAAAATTAATAAACAATTAGGATATAGTGGTAAAAATAAAATGATTTTATTAAGACAAACCTAAAAGCATTTTTAAAAAGTGTCTTGAATGAGGCTCAGTTAATAGATAGTAGTGAGAAGATTGTTCATAATTATATTACAAAAAAAAATAGAGTATATTTATAAAGCAGAAAGCTTGTTAGAAAATAAAAAAGTTCTAGAAGACGGTTTAAAGTTTCTTTCTTACTTAAAAAAGCAATAGATAGAGATCTTTTGTCAAGTTGGTGCTTTAATAGATGGATGAATGCTATAAAAGCTCTTGAAATTCCTTTAGAAAAACTTCCCACTACGAATAACTATCTTGAAGGGATAAATGAGTATTTAAAAAATAATCAATTAAACCGATTTCAAAGAAATAATCATTTTCTTAAAGCTGATGTATTATATATTGCTCTTGTATATGAAGTCATTCCAAATATCTTAATATTGTAAAATCTTGCTATAAATATTGAATGTGAAAAGGCAGAACGACGAAAAGACCTTAATATAATAGACCCATCTGATCGTAAAATTATTATGCAAGAGTTTTTCCAAGTTGCATATTTGTTTCTAAGTGAAAAGTATGATAAACTTGCAATAAACTAATTGATATAAATAAAATAAAAAAATATGAGGTAGATGAACTTTCTGAAAAGATTTATATTGAAGTTGAATCTAAAACTATGTCTGGATTAATTTATACAACTTGTGTATATAGGCAACCAACTGATATCTGCTGTCAATGTTTTGATTTTCTTCAAAGAGAAACTATTTGCAAACACCTTCGTGCTGCAGCTCTTTATATTAAAGATCTTTGTAAGCAAGAACAATATTCACATTTGCCCAAAATAGCTTTTTCAACTTACCAGGAATCTAAAAATATTCGATCAAATATATATACTGATAAATTCAAAATATCTGGAGATAATGATAATGATATTAGTGATGAGAGTGATATTGAGGATGATATTAATGATGAAAGTAAAGATATTGAAAATGAAGATAATGATAATAGTAATAGTACTATATCAACCTTATCTAAAGAGATCCTTACTTATATTAAACATATTCTCAGATTTAATATTCCAATCGAAGCATCACAATCAAACGTATTTATATCTGCATCAACTTTATTAA